TCTCAAGATGGCTGCCTACAAATAGGCCGGCAGGGGGGTTAATGGGGGACAACCAAATGACTGAACAGCAGGTCGCATGGGGTGACAGGCTGGCAGGGGAGAGGGGACATGAGGGGAAACCAGGTTGGTTGGGGGACAGTTGGGAGTAATCAGGCTGGTGGAGGGTTAGTTAGGGGTGACCAGGCTGGCAAAGTGGGGCAGTTGGAGACCAGGCCAGCAGTGGGGGCAGTAAGAAGTGACCAGGAAGGCAGGCAGGTGAGCAATTAGGAGCCAGCAGTACAATATTGTGAGAGGGATTTATGACTGCCAGTTTACGCCTGATCTCAGGGATCGAGCCTAAACTCGCAGTCAGATATCCCCCAAAGGGTCACAGATAGGAGAGGGTGCAGGGTAAGCTGAGGGGACACCCTTCTGTGCATGAATTTTGTGCACTGGGCCTCTAGTTTTGATTATAATATGCACACCAGTTAGAGATGTTAAAACTAAAATATATATATATATATATATATATATATATATATATATATATATATACTATAAAATATAATACATGTGAACTTAAGGAAAAAGAGATAATGGTTAGGATGGTGAGTTTTCAGCTTGAATCTCTTAGGATTATAGAAGAACATATTGCCACATTTTACTTCCTTGGAGACTTGACCATCAGGAAATAATTGCTCTGATTCTAAAACATTTGCAAATGCAAACAATAGATGTACAAGGCCTATTTATTTACAAACAAATATTTTGTTATAAACAAAAATGTTAAAATCAAGTAAGAAAAGCTATTTGTTAAAATAATTTCATAATGTGGCATATTTTTTCCAAGTTATGTGATTAAACATAAAGCATTAGAACTATACAAATCATTCTTAATATAGAATAAGACCATCCTTATGTTTCATAAGTTTAAATCTTAAACTTCTTTTCATTCCATATATTAATTAAGTCAGTAAATTAACTTGAAATTGAAGACTAACTGAAACAAAATCTACCTGGAAAGGACATGTAGTAAAGTCAGGAAAAGGTTATTTCCTCAAGAACCCCCATAGTTATTTATTACCCTTTGTTGGAAGGGACTGTGTCAGGACCACATTAATTAAGAGTTCAAATAATTAGTAACATCAAGAGCAAAGAGGGTTCTGAGAGGAGTTGTCAAAAACAAATCTGTTTCCAGTGAATCCCCTGAAGGATAAATCCCTTTTTATTATAAAACATTAAACTTTAAATCCATAAATACTGTTGTGCTCCTCTCAGCTCATAGTATCTCAGCTCAGTTCATAGTATCACCTACACCACATATTTTATAGCTCACAAGTGTACATCTACTAAGACTCAAGTTCAGTGTTCATATCTTATTTCAACTTCACTGATATTTTTGTGAGAAGAAGACAAAAATCACTCACTAGGAGAGAATCACCACTTTTGTAATGAAATATGGTTTTCAAAAGATTTATTTTAATATTATCATATAGTAAAAGAGTAAATGAAAACAAATGTAGGTCACCTTACATAATTCTGTTCTGTTTCTCAGTACTTATTTCCTGTAAAAAACTCTAATAAGAGTTCTCTTATGTGTGATAAATAGATGTATGAAATGCACAGCCTTTTAAAAACAAATGCAGTGATTTGGCATTCTATTCATGAATTAAAAATAGTAAATTTTCTAAAGCATAAACTGAAATTTTATATGACATAAATCTATTAAATTTTATATGACATAAATCTATTTCATTTTTCCATATTTTGCATGAAAAAGTTACACAAATATGTAAGCCTTATTAGTCAAATTAAAAATATAATGGCTCACAAAAACTGAGGAATCTACAATAATAAAAGAGAAACATGCAAATTAACCATAACTTTGCTACACCCACAAGCCACACCCATCAGTCAATCAAGAATGAGCATGCAAATTAACTCAACCAAGATGGCAGCAGGCATGGAGCAGAAGCAAGCAGGAGGCTTGGGTTACCCAGCAATGGAAGAAGCCAAGCTTCCCGCCCACCCTGGATGGCCCTGGCCTTCACTCAAGGCTACAAAGTTTCAATTATAGAAGGTAAATAAATTCTAGATACTTCCTTCTAGCCTGCCCTGGCCTCCACTCAAGAAAGTGTTGGGGGGAAAAAAAGAAAGAAAAAAAGGAAGAGCTGGGACCTCGGAGGGTGATCAGGTCAGGAAGGGATGGCAGAGACCGTTGGGGGTAAACAGACCAGCAGAGGGGCCAATTAAGTTGACCAGGCCATCAGTGAGGGTCAGTTGGAGGTGATCAGGACAGTAGCAGGGGGACATTTTGGAATGAGCAGGCCAGCAGGGGGGGGGGGGGGGGAGGGGGCGGTTGTGGGGAGCAGAGCAGTGGGGAAGGAAAGTGGGGGCAAACAGGCCAATGGGGGAGGGGGGGAGTTGGGGGTGATCAAGCTGGTGGTGGGTCATTTGGGGGCGAGAACCCCAGCAGGCAGAGTGCTTAGGGGCAATCAGGCAGGCAGGCAGAGTGGCTTGAGCCAGCAGTCATGGATTGTGAGAAGAATGTCTGACTGCTAGTTTAGGCCTGATCCCAGCAGGCAGAGTGCTTAGGGGCAATCAGGCAGGCAGGCAGAGTGGCTTGAGCCAGCAGTCATGGATTGTGAGAAGAATGTCTGACTGCCAGTTTAGGCCTGATCCCTGTAAACGGTTAGTAGGACATCCTTTGAGGGGTCCCAGATTGGAAAGGGTGCAGGCCGAATTGAGGAACAACTCCCCTCCCCCATGCACGATTTTCATGCACTGGGCCACTAGTCTATATATACAAAAGCCTAAGCGACCTTTATAACTGAACAAGCAGAATTACAGGTTGACCAGTCGCTATGATTCACACTGACCACCAGGGGGCAAACGCTCGATGCAGGGGCTATGCACTACCACAGCCAACCTCCCAAAGCCAGCCAACCTCCATGCTCCTCCCACCAGCCTGCTGGCTGCAGTCGCCACAATTGGAACCTCCTGCAGCCCCTCCGACCTCCCCATGCGCCAGTTGTCCAATCTCCCAGCCGGCCAACCTCCTGTGGCCCAAGCCTTCCACCCACCATGGATCCAATCAGGTCTGGGAGAGACGCTGATCACTGGCTAGGCCCAGGGAGCCCACCTGTGTACAGATTCATGCACTGGGCCTCTAATCTAAAACAACAACAGTCTCTGAGTATCTCGGTGTGTCTCAAAGCTATGTCTTTGAGCAATTCATAACTTCCCAGGTACCTCATCCACAAAACGAAAGTTTCATGTATTCTGTGATTTTCAAGGTTAGTCCCAGCTTAAGAATTCTGTGATTCTAAAGGTATAGTAATTTGCTCTGAGATACATTATAAAATTAAATTTAAAAAATTAGATGCCACAAAATACTTTATATTCACTTGATATATATTCATTTGATAAGTTTACATGGTGATAGATGACTTCTAGAATTAGCGGGATGATCACATTGTAAGGTATAAAATGTTGAATCACTGTATTGTACACCTGAAACTAATATAACCTATATAAGATTTCATATCAACTATTTGTAAATTTTAAAAATTGAAAAATATTGTCCCAATATTAATTATTATGGCTAAAATAAACTACTTTAATATTCAGCATAAAAGCACACGTACTGTCACTTGAAGAGCAATCTGAACTTGACATGCCTTCTACTACTTGACAACCTAATTTGTTCAAAGATAGAAAGCTGGATTTTATTTACAAACAGACATTGAGTTTTTCACTGACTTTTTCATGTCCAGCGAATAGACAAGTGTCATTCTGAGAAAAACTATCAAGTTATGTAATATATAAATATGGAATTTAAACAAAAATCCTTGCACTCTAGACTATAATGGGTTATGTTCTTTAATAAAAGATACAACTTTCTTAATAACCCCTATTTCTACCATATTTCATTACTCTGTAAAATTTTTCATTTATTTTTCTATGACTTCTCAATTTAATATTTATAAAAATGTGATTATAAAGTAAGTCTAATATCATTTAATGTGAAATTATATCTATTGAATGTGCCTTTCTTGCAATCTAGCTTTAAAAAAAAAAAGGAAGAAAGAGACAAAAATTAAAAACTTTCATGCATAAAAATTTCATTTGAAAGTTAAATTTCATGGTTTGATGGACTGCAACAGTTTTATCCCTGTTTGAAATAATTACAAACATAGCATTCCACTTAATTATGTTTACTAAAATGTACCACATTAGAAGACAATTGATAAACTATATCATCTATTTATATAATCTTTATTATTAGAATAATTACATAGTCCTTGCTTCAGATTAACTCTTTAGAAAGTAAGTACCAGCTTGAATATTTGAATTTTCATTGTGGCTTGCTTAATGCATTTAAAAGAATAAAAACCTCTCTTGGAATTTATGAATATAACAATGAAATCAAGCCATTGAATGATATATTTTTATAATCCTGATTGTGGTGATTTAAACCTCATATGACAAAATGTCTAGTAAAATAGTACTTGGAAGAGAACAATACCATAATTATTCCTATGTATTATAGTCTCCTGACTACAGAGGATTGATGGTTATAATCCAAGGGCCTAATAAAGATTCTATTTCATCCCTGGATATAAGAATTTCCTTCTGATTGGCGACTGTTACATATTTAATACCATTCTAAATTCTATTCATTTTTATAATAAGAATATACATTTTAACATGAACCAAAACATAATCAACTGAGTGTACATATTTAAACACTGAACCACTAACATGTTAAATAAATTATTAAAGTATCTAATTCTGCTTCCTGCATTTACAGAACAAAAATGCTGGCGACTTCAGCTGACAATTATTCTCATCATTGTTCTTTAAAGTTTTCTTTTCTCTATATCAGTATCATATATTTGTGTACACTTATATAATAAAACTTTAAATATTTAGTTTATAAAAGTCAGTGAATAAAATATCATCTTATTGTGTTTTATTTTTTTCTGAATTTTATGAGACCAAAGCATGCAATGCAGTACCTTTGGATATTGTTTCACAGGGATCAATACCCTTTCTGAGAGCTTTATGTTTTTGTTGCTGATGACATCAAGATATTTCTTTTCTTCATCATCCTTTTTTCCATCAGAACCTTGGAATTTTTCAATTTCTGGAGTGAAAAAAAATCACAAGAAAATAATAGTAAGTGAAATGGGAGATCACTGTAAAATATGGTGGTTGTTATGACTTCCCTTCTTAAGACTGTAAAGAATCTTGATAAAAGGGCTGAAACAGCACCTTGTTAACAGCTACATGAAGGCTGCAACTGATATAAGAGGACCGCTGTCAATCAAAACTAAAAAGGGATAATTGAAGATCTGACTGTCTTATATGAATTAATAACTTTCCTCGGAGCAATGGATAGAATGAAATATACTTTGAAGTTATATGTTTTATTTTTACTTAGAATTACTCCTAAGAAAAAAGTAACTGAAAATAGTAATTACCCATGATCTAAGATAGGGTAGTAAAGATAAATAGCATGTTATTTTATATTCTAATCAAACTTAAAGGCAGTTACCAAGGGAGTCACAGAAAAGTCATATAAAGGATCAAATATACAAATACTATCATTCACATTCATCAACCTGAAACTGTCAGTCTGCATGTTTAAGAGGAATTAGTAATTCTGCCATATGACAACGTTCTCAAAATGAATAATTTTGAGCAAATGTACACCATTTATACATTGTTTCTTTTAAAAATTAATTTATTCCACAAAAACTTTTTCTGTTTTATCTGGGTTTTACAAATAGAACAGAAAACAAGAAAAAGTGTCTGCTTTTATAGAATCTATGCTTTGATAAGGCAAATGAACAATTAGAAAATGAATTTACTAGTATGTACACATGCATATTTATAAATGGACATAAAGAATAAATACAATAAAGATATTAAAATATAAAGGAAAGTTGAGTCAAGGAGTGGGTTTATTACTTTGGATTTATAGGGTGAGGTGAGCAGAACTTTGAATAATGAGGAAAATCACGTCAGGAGAGATTGAGAAATCAAGTTTTACAGTTGGCTCGAGAAACAGCTAGACTTATTCTGAGGAAAGTTTACATAAGACCTTGTAGACAAATGACGTTTTCTGCTTTTTATTGTGAATAATGGAAAACCATTGGTTTTGGTACAGGAAGGAGGAAGCCATATTTGAATTTTACTTGAAAAGGTAACACCAGATGTAATATGCAAAACCCATCATAGCAGAGAGCAAGCAATCAAGAAAAACACATTTTATTTGTCTAGCTGAGAAATGATGGTGACTTGTTTGAAAATAATAGAAATGAAATGGTGAGAAGAATGTATATAGCTAAAATCACTTAATAGAATTCACTATGTAAAATCAATGCTTTGAAGAATTCTTGGAAAATGTATTTCCCTTATTTATTTTACATTATTGGACAGTAATTATTAGCTTAAAGTCACCTAAAAACATTTATTTTCTCCTTACTTTTGGTCAATTATACTTTTTCAAAGCACTCCCTAAGTTAAAATATGAATGTGTCAGTTTTTTTAGTTTTCTTAGGATGAAACAGCATTCTGCTTCTGTTATTTTGGAGACAAATAAATGATGATAGTTTTTAGATAGAGAAATTATTAATTCATATTAAGTTATGTTGCATGTTTAACAATTATTTTTAAAGGACTGACTACTTCTGCAGGTAGAAGAAATACTACATTATAAAACAGCTCTGTTCTTTGTTATTTAATTTTTAATTAACATCTTTCCCAAAGAAATTTCTTATAGTATATATAAAATCCCTATAACTTTCTGGTAGTAATCTTACAGCATATTATTTATCTGGTCCGTGTGAAATTAAAAAAAAAAGTTTAAGTAAGATTACATTTCTTAACAGATAATGCTCGAATGAATGCCACACTGCATAGTTTGTGTCATTTTATACTTTTTCGGTTAGATGCTATAATCTTCTTAAAGACAATTATCTTACACTGACTATTTGAAAAGAAAGTTATTTGTAATAGGTCTATAATTTCACATTTTTACGAAGGCATCAGATTCTTACTTTTGTACTCCAGAGTATTAACAAGTCACTTTGACTTTTTATAAACCAAGAAGTACTCTCTTTTTAAGAATTTCAATCCATTGTATAATGATTACATACAAAACCCTGACAACTGCAAAGAAAGAAAATTCATTACATCCTCTGATGCTGACAATAAACTTTTCATCACTGCCCTTCGGGTACATGCACCTACATAACGTTGTACTTCCTAGATTGCTAAGGTAATTGTAACATAGTTCACACTGAAGAAGCTGGCTCAATTCCCAATCTGTTAAATGTATAACTTCCCCCTTGTCATTCTGTCATAAGAATAAATTGAATATGTCTGGTATTATTTGCTTTCTACAAAACTACAACCTTAGACATTTTTAGATTTTGAAATTTCATCAATTTCTGATTAATAACTTTTCCATCAAGGAGAAGAGCTGAATGAAATAACATGTTCACTGCTTTTTCTGTTCCACTCTACACTTTCCTTTCAAAAGGCTTGATATTTCTTTTGCCCTTCTTATACTTTGGGGGAGTTGTCTGTCCGTACATATATATCTACATGACTAATAGCTCAGTAATCACATTTGTCAACAACACAGTCACAGAACAGTATATCCCAAACTTGCCTCGCTTTAAAACCGGTGAAAACGATGTATACAGAACCTTTATTTTTTAAATGTTTATTGTAAAGTAATTCTTTTCTCATTTCATAATTAATGCATGAATAACTGAATAGTTTTGGGTAGAGGTGTTAAATCATTTTTATATTTGTTTATATAGTCTACTAAAATTGGCTGCTATATTATTGAGAAAACATATTCAATATATTAAGGCAGAGCAATTGTTTTCTTTAAAAAATGTTAAACTACATAGATTTTACAAGATAGTCACATTTTTAAAATTTTATTTTATTCTTTAAAGTATTACAAATAGTAGTACATATGTCTCCTTTCCCCCCCCCTATTGAACTCCCCCCTCCTCTTTTATATACCATATTTTCTTTATCCATTCCTCTGTCAATGCACATTTGGGTTGTTTCCACCTCCTAGCTATTGTGAGTAATTCTTCAGTGAACATGGGTAAGCAAATTATATCTTCAAGATCCTGCTTTAATTGGATATATACCCAGAATTAGATGGCTGGGTCCTATGGTAATTACATTTTTTTTAATTTTTGAGGATCTCCACACTATTTTCTAAATGACTGTATATTTTTAATCAGAATTTGTGAATATTATATGAAAAGGGCTTATATTCTCTGTTGCTGGGCAAAATGTTAGATATAAATCAGTAAAATATTTTTTACCCATACTGGATCCATCTTGAAATGAAAAAAGGTGTGTGAGAATTTCTTTAGAATATGTTCATAAAAGAAGAGTTTGGGTTCATAAATTATGCATAAACTTAATTTGACAAAGTTCTGCTACTTTATTCTACAAAATATACCAGGCACATTCCACAAAGTGGAAGTACTTCTCTCACTTCCATTTTCCTCCAATGGCTTAATTTTTGAGCCTCACCTAATTCTCTTATAGAAACAATTAAAGCACCTAGGATAAGAAAAGAACAAAAAAAAACCCAAAAACTGAATTCTGAAAACATCCCCACAATCCAATGTTCTAGAAGAACCCTATAATAAAAGTGAGTTTCTCAAAACACTGAATACAGTAGGAATTCTGTTGGAAAAGCAATTATGGGAAGATCATGGATGAATAAAAATGAAAATTCCAACCCTAGCTGGTTTGGCTCAGTGGATAGAGTGTCAGTCTGCAGACCAAAGGGTTCTAGGTTCAATTCAGGTCAAGAGCACTGTGAGCTTGATCCCAGTTGGGGACATGTAGGAAGCAGCCAATCAATGATTCCTTCTCATCATTAATGTTTCTATCTCTTTCTTCCTCTCCCTTACTCTCTGAAATTAATAAAAATATATTTTTTTAAAAAATTAAAATTCCAAAGAACACACAAATGGGAAATAAGTATATGGAAAGATGCTCAAGATCACTAATCATAAGAGAAATTCAAGTTTCAAAGACTTATTTATTCAAAAGGAGAAATTACCTCTAACCAAGATATGTATAACTAGAGTTCCCAAAAGATGAAAATGAAAACAGTAAAAATTTAAAAAAATTAAAAGATATAAAAGATGAAATTATTTCATAAAACTATATAATACCATAACATGAATTTAATAGTATGTCTAGCTCAATGTTCTGAACTGAGGGAGAGAGAGAGGCAGAAGGAAGATAGAGAAGGTTAGTAATGAAAACTTCATTTTGACCCTTGGATTTAGCAAGAGAAGGATGCTGGTGACCTTTTTAATAAGGAGTTCTGTCACTGAGAGTATGTTAGGCAATTTTATTTAGGAGAAAATAGGTGGAGAGGATGTATATCAAGTAAGTATGAAGCTTCCCCCTACTGCTACTCTGGTTCATTGCCTTCCGAAATTCTGTTCTAAACTCCTTGAGGCCTACCTGTACTGCAGTTCCTTTAATTTAATAAAAAGTTTCCCCTTTCTTTCTAACTTAGGACCTAAATCATTGTCTTTGAGTTTACCTGAACAAAGCACACATTCAGTTGAATTCATTGTGAATCAGATTGAATTCACAATCTGCATCTGCCATCTGCCATCTCTTCAGACATCAAGCCCAGACAGCCTTCCTGAGTTTTAAATCACTTCAATGTCTTACTCTTTTATATCCACTCGAAAATTTCTAAGACATATGAAACTCATACACCTCAAAGTGAATTCATCTTAACTCCAAAGACTACCCTCTCCTTGCATTCCTTCCCACCGCATGGTTCCTACTCACCCAAAATCAAGAACACAAATCTTGAGCGTTAGTACTCCCTGGTCCCCACCATTCTACATGCAGTAATCTTCACCTTATAGTGATTCCATCTTTGCAGCTCCTTTCAAATCCAGCTTCTGCCTGCAGGTGCTCGCCACTGCTCCCTCCCCTTTGCCATCATCATTTTCACCAATGGCAGGAGCCATAGTTTCCCTGAAGACCCAAGCACAACTTATCTTTCATATCCATACTGTCTTCGTAAACATAAACTTGAGCATTACGGATTTCTCTTTGCTATTGGCA